TCTACCCACTGTCCCACACTGCACCGTTCTCAGCTCTACCCACTGTCCCACACTGCCTCTGTCTCAGATCTACCCACTGTCCCACACTGCACCGTTCTCAGCTCTACCCACTGTCCCACATTGTCCCACACTGCACCGTTCTCAGCTCTACCCACTGTCTCACATTGCCTCTTTCCCAGCTCTACCCACTGTCTCACACCGCCTCTGTCCCAGCTCTGCCCACTACCCCATTAGCCCACAGCACCTGTCTCTTGATACTGTATATTCCACCAGGTTATGGTGTTGTTATTCTCGGCCCCTGGTGGATGGCTGTGGGTACGACAAGGCTTCAAAAGGGCAGCAGCATCAGCTCCTCGGCAAGGGACCTCCTGTTGGTCTCTTGTTGCTGTTATTAAAGCTAAACTCAACTTTTCACCTCCTCCCCCAGCACAGACGCACAGCTGCAAATTTTCAAATTAAAGCGAGAAGAGCCCGCATACATTAGCATACATTAGCGGGTCCCCCTACCCACTTAACATGCAAATCTACCGCAATGTTTCCCAACACCTTCTGCCACACATTCATTTGCTGAATTATAATTAGACTAATCTTGCATAATTAATAAGTAGGGGACCCTCTTTCACACTTTTTGTTTGTGTTGTAGTTGTGAGCTTTTTTTTCAGATGTACTGTATTTATTGGGGAGTCTAGTCAGCAGAGTTTGTGGGTGACATGCCTAACAGTAGGAGGAGAGGACATTGTGTTGAATCCACATTAGTGAACCTCAGCCAAGCTGTAGCAGACAATGAGCCTGCCCGTACACACAACAGACAACCGCCACGTCATCCGAGTCACCTTGAAAACATTTTTATAACTCCTACAATTTGGTGTCTTTTTTGCAAAAACATGACTTCTTCCTTTTTCTGGAGGCGAGGGGAGTGACTCAGAGGATTAAGACGTATTTTCCCGAAGCTAAAAGCTTCATTTTGCAGACACTGTAGGGTCATGGTGCGTTAACACACATGTGCATCCAGAGAAGAGACAAAAAGACAACTAAGACCTTAAAACAACATTGAAACGTATCCCTAATCTAGTGGAGCAGGCAACACAGTCTGCAAAATGGAGTAATATACGCAACTCTACGTCTAACGTTAAGTATAAATGAAATGCAAGTGTCTAAATTATATTTTAAATTATATCATTTGGATTTTGCAACCACAAATAGATGTGTGGATGACACAGTGGTCATAGCATTACTACCAAAAAGCCCTATGGCCCAGGGTTCAATTCCAGACCTGGAGTGCTGTCTGTGTGGAGCTTGTATGATCTCCCCATGTGTGTGTGGGTTACCTCCCATAGTGCAAACAATACTAGTAGACTCTGGAAAAACAGGTCCTGGTGTGTATGAGTCTGCCCGCCCTGTGATGAACTGATGTCCCATCCAGGGTCCTCTGCCTCGTGCCCATTGCTTGCTGGGATAGGCTCAGGCTCCCCTGTGACCATGAATTTTGGATGAAGTGGTTAGAAAATGGAGGAAAATGGAAAAAAGGGGAAGAATTCGTTTTTCAGGGAGCACAATTTCTAGTCGCTGAAGGAATCCACTCTGTGCAACAAATACATTTTATCAGGTGGATTAACTCATTTTATTATGACATATGGAGGCTGCTGTCATTGATTCCTGGACTCCGGGACATATTTCCCTCTTCTATTGAACAACCCAGGTGAACCACTTTTAATGTAAGGGGTAAGTATTGATGGAGAACAGAGTTTGGTTTACCTCACCTTTGCTTTTAATCCCCCAAAAATAGTACGCCATTTGGCAAGGTCACCATATTCACAAGGGATTTTCAAAGCAGTTGTGTAAGTGATCATACTTAGTGCCTTAATAACTGGAGAATGGTGCATCTATTTTAACATAAAAATGTCACAGTAATTTAAGTCCCTCAATTCCCTTAATTTTGCTGTCAGAATGACCCC